AGGGAGGGAGGGAGGGAGGGAGGGAGAGAGAGAGAGAGAACGAGAATCTTCATGTGGACTTGTTTTTTATTTTTGGGAGGTATAGCCTTAGGAATGAAACAATTGGGTAATATGGCAACTCATATTTAGAGTTGAACTACTATTCTGTCTTCTATTAGCAGAGTGAACAAGGGCTCTACAATCTGGAAATTCTTGAAGTCATTTGTTACTATCTGTCTTTTTAATTATCTCCATCAAACCAGGCACTGTGGCACATGCCTTTAATCACAACACTCAGGAAACAGATCTCTCTGAGTTCAAGATGTTCCTAGTCTACCATAGTGAGTTCCAGGCCAGCTAGGGTAACACAGTGAAACTCTGACTTAACAAACAACAAACAAAAGCAAAAAAACCCAAACCAAACCAAAAAAAAAACACAACTTCATCCCAGTGTGTACTGAGTGGCTCTTATTAATATTTCCCTGATGGCTAATCATGTTCCACATGTCTTCATGTGCTTATCAACCATTATGCACTTTCTTTGAAGGTCTATTCAACCTTTGCCTGATTTTTCAATTGGGCTACTTGTCTTTTTATTAAGGATATAGGAACAAACAAACATAGTCTGTCCTATGTCTGTGACCAATGTGTCACATATTTAGGTTCCCTATTACCATCAGGAAACAAGCAATCAGTCCTGCTGTGGACTTGTTTGGATGACCTTTAATTCAAATTTAGGCCTAACACTCCCTACTTGGGAGATAGTATTAAATGACACAGTACACTAGTCACAAGTTCCATGTTGTCTTTTCTGTGCTTCTGACTATAAATTAAGAGTTCTCATGACCTCCTGTCTTCCTGTGTATATGCCATTCCTTCAGGAACTCCTGTGTGTGATCACTGGTAATCACACCAATCTTTAGTCTTTCTTCTCCAGAAGGGAGAAGGTGGATATGAAAGACCGTTAATAATGCCTTGGTCTTTCGGGTGATTGAATCCCATCCTGAAGCTACTTGGGGGCTCCTAGACTTAGTCATCTGACTAACATACAAAAGACATTATCACACTTAGAAGTTTAAGGGTTTTAAGTGCTATGTGCCAATAAATGGGAAGGAAGTCAAACACTTTATAATATCAGATTCTACTAAAAAACCAAGAATGTGGTCCAAAGATATACACCAACAATTCTGACACAGCACTTATGAGAATACGAATTAACAATATACATTATAAAGTGCTATGTACACACACAGTCTATAGGCCATATGTATACCCTATAGAAACACAAGCTTATGTATACCATGTATACCAGAGACATGTTTAAAATAAGCTTCATTGTTCCTAGCACACAAAAACTGAAAATAACCTAGCTGATCCACTCCAGACATAGCAATGAAAACAAGTTCCTATTCTTTCCCCAGGAAATGAAGCAGGCAACAAATCACAACTGATACAAGCAAATTAATTAATTAAATAAATAGATAAATAATCATTTTCTATTTTGCCTGCTGATAGAGCAGGCCTGTAACCACCAAGACTGCAGGGCTGTTTCATCAGTATTCTAGAAAAGATGTTTTCTCCTGATTTGAAAGTAAATCTACAGAATAAAAAATTCTTTCTGCTTTGTCTCTTTTGAATATGTGCAGTTGTTACTCATCCCATGCTGTCAGGACAAGACTCACGTCCTAAACTCTTCATTGTCATAAGGACAACTAACTGATAATCATCTTGCTCTGGAGTAAATTATTCAACAAGCATGCGTAAGGCCTTGAATTTGATCACCAACCTACAACAAATAACTTCCATCAACAAATTACACATGCAATAAGCTTCCATTTACTTAGCCAGTAAATTGCCTTATTTGAGTTCAGATCCCCAGGAGCTATGAAAAAGCTAGGGGTGGAAGCAAGCATCTGTAACCCCAGTCAGTGCTGGGTGGTTACTGACAGGCAAATCTCTAGATTAAGTGAAAGACCCTGCCTCAAAATATAAGGTAAAGAGCAACTTGAGGAGACATCCAATGTCAACATCTGGCCTCCACATGCAGAGATACATAGGCACACACACATATACCATATACACATTTGCATAAAATAACCTTTAAAAACATGAAATCTGAGTTAAGGAGTATAATTCTTCAACACTTAACCTTTGTTATGACCAGGAACCTACTACATTCTCCCTCAAAGAAGGGCCACTAATATTTCTTAAAGTGCTAATGATGTTCAAAAACAAGGCTCAATTATTTTTTCCGTTTAAGGTATTTTGACCTAATAAAATAAGAGAAGCAATGGCACCTACAAGTTTTGTAATGATTATTAAAGTTAAAAATCAAAAACCAAACGAAATAGTGTATGTCTATTTCCCTTCTGCTCATACATCTATACCCCTAACAACTATTTTCTGTGCTAGGCAAAGTAGACTTGCTAAGACAGCCTAATTAGGTAAAGTGAACCATGTACTCCATTTAAAATAAGTAAATCCTGAATTAGGTGCATGTTTCTCCAACTAAATATAATCCAAGAAGCCATTTATTTAAAAAAGGTTGGGGGGGGGGAGTTATGATAGTAGTCTCTAGGTCAACACTCCATGTTCTTAGAAATCAACCATTTGAGACAATAATGCAAATCTACTCAGATAATCAGAACTCAAAAAAAAAAGATAAACTTTAAATATTTACCAACATTAAATAGTCAGTGTACTCTATAAAATTAAAGAGAAAGATCAGAGAGTTCAAGATGTGTTTGTAGTATGTGCTTTTTTATAATTACAAAAAATTCTAGAACATCTCTTTTGGTGGTGTTACAGCAGCTTTAGGAGTCATGGGACTTTTCATGTCATCCTTAGCTCTGAGGAACATTTGTTTCCAGAGAATATTACATCTACTATGTTCTTAAGTTCAAAAAGTTTTCAAACAATTAGTCCCTCATAATTGAGTCTAATTAGAAATCAAGAGCCTTTGTATATGTATGTGTCTCTCTGTGTGTATCTATCTGTCTGTCTGTCTGTCTGTCTGTCTACATAGAATCAAACAAAAATGACCCACGAAAATGGAAAGACTATTTGAAAAGAGGAAGGGATGGGGAGGATAGGAAAGGGTAATGGAGAGTAAATAAGATAAAAGTACATGATTTACTTAAACATAAAATGTCATTAATGAAGCCCACCATTTTGTCTAGCAAATATACACTAATAAAAAGTCTTCATTAAACTCTCACCACATTTACAGAAATCACATCTGATTTCATAATCAAAGTAGATACATTTTAACTTTATAGAAATCTTTTCAGTCAAGTTTTTAAAAGAACCCTTATATCTAAAAAAACATTATTACGAATTATCATATTTGCAATTTACTTTCAAAACATGGTTCAACAAAAGAAGAACATGTGTATCTACACACACATACACATACACACATGCACACATGATCTATCTTTGTGAATGAGAGTAAATAGTAAAATGTTATCAATGTTGAACCAAAGGAAGGGTCTTGAGACTATTTTTTCAACACTCCTGTATTTGAAAATTTTAAAGTAAAAAGGTCAGAGGACAAAAACATTTTAATTGGCTTCGAGGAGCTGTGGGTTTTCATATAGTGCATTACATATGTCCAGTGTACCCCCTCTGGATCCCAAGCAAGACTCTCCTGCCTTCACTTAAAACAACAGTTGCAGAATTATGCTTTTAAACAAAAACATGCAAACAAAATTACAATACTAGGAAAGAGGTATTTTTAAAGTAGGTTAAAAAGGTTGGTGTAAGTGAACTGCTTTACCTGAAAGTTAACATCTTCTTTCTTAAATATTAGTGCTCGAACTTCATCTGGATCACCGTTAAATATAGCTTGCACCAGTGATGGCTAAAAAAAAAAAGTAACAAAACATTAATCATATCATATGTATAATTTTAAAGATATTTCTGCATGGTTTCTAAATCTAATGTTTTTTTCTCCCTCACGGCCATAATCTTTTTTGAGATGGTAAGGAACATAAATCAGACATTTTATGCAGCCTGATCATATCAAAGTATGGGATTCATCCTGTGAGGAGCATGTATAACAAAGAAGCTTAATTAATAAATCTATTCAAAAGCAATTAGATCAAAATAATGCAATAGACACTCATTTTATTTCTTATGTGAAAGCTCTCTGCTTATATATGATGAAAACAAAGATACACACACACACACAAATATAAGTCTGATAATTCAAATCTATTTTTGGAATAGAACCAGTCAAATATGCAATTCTTAATCCCACTGAGGGCTATGAAAGAAGGAGATTTTGAATAACATACATGGGGTTCCTACTATATGTATATGATAGAAATCCTAGAAAGGAAATTTAGCAACTGATAAAAAAAATTCAAAACCAGGAAATAATATACATCTGAATAATATGAAAAGATAAACATATGCATGTCTAAATATAATTTCCTAAAAACATAGCCTCTCCAAGGCATCATACTATACTAGTCAAATAAGGAGTTAGTTGACAACAGTGTTCAAAACAAGGTTAAGGATGTACCCTGATTCTTTTTAATATAAAGTCTTGCATGCAAATAGGTAAAATTCTTTATAGAAAAGGCTATGCCTTGACGTTGCTGGTAGTAGTCAACCTTTTCAAAAATAAGCAGAGTTCCTGATTCTTGTCAGATCAGATCTAAAACCAAAAGAAAACAAGAGCATGTTTTCATAACTACTTCTTAGCTTATTTTCAAGTCCTCATAAGGAGATGAACAGATACAGTCTAAAGTGGAACCTAAGCATTTGAAAAAGAAAAACTCAGTAATGTGCTCCTTTTACATACAAATAATACTGCATCATACAGACCCACACACTGCCTGGAGCTTCTAATGAAACTAGAAAATCTAACTCAGTGTATTCTTAAAAAATTAAATTTACATAACTAGCTCTAAAAAATATAATCAACAGAAACTTTCATAGCTTACCAATACATTTCCAGAGGATGGAGAATGTAGAGATTTACTTTCCTGGGGCAATTTAGAAATGAATACAGGAGAATCATCTTCTACCTCCTCCAAAACAACAATACACACTCGACTCATTCGCTCTTTTAAAACATTCAACTCCACGCTACGTGATAGAAGTCACAGTGGGACGAGCACAAGCAGTTTTTCCTCCTCTTCTGTACACCACTTATGAACATTCTCTGAACAGTGCAGCTGGTTTTATAGTTGATAATATTAGAGAAACTCACGTTTAAAATTAAGATACATAACTTCCTAAAAGAAAAACCTATTTCTTTCTGCCAGGTTATTGCAATCTATAAAAAGTTTCACATCAATGTGTCAATAATTAAAACTCCGTCAAGGACTAATTCTTTTAAAAATATTTTTCTTCCACCAAAGTAGTTACATTGAGCTCTGAAATTTACTTGTACAAAACAATCACTGTTTTGGGTGACACGCCACCAGAGCATAAAAAATGCAATTAGAAACAACTGCTATGAGAGAGGGTGGCCACGGATATCCCACTCTTGTCTACAAGGTCATATAGTTACCAGTAGGCTGGGCGGCTTGTAGCTGAAAATAAAAAAACAAAATCTCACTGTTCTGTTCCCACTTCTACTTTGTCTTCATTTTTTTCAGTTTCACTGACTTAATACAGATATTATCCAGGAAACAAACAAAAAGATATAGAATTTAGCATAAATCCTAAAAATTGAAGGGTTGACAATTCTTCCTGTGTTCAGGAAAGAAAGAAAAAGCAAACAGCCACCACTCTGCATTAACAGCAAAGCTGCAGCACATTTACACGTGATGAGTCAGATCACAGGAGGCAACAGGACTACTGGTACGAGAACACAAACTGATTAATCCAGACTTCGCATATAACAGCCGAAACACAGATAGCTTTTTCCCATCAGGAACATAGGCACGGCAAAGCTTTCATTCTTTCTCCATCAGGCAGTTGTTTCTGGCTGCCCAGCAAAAAGAACCAGGCACCAGGCAGAAATGGTGTCAATGGAGAATCCTAACACAACAAGCAGACAGGAAAAGAATCAGAAGACCTTTGAGCTCCAATTACTGCTTCTGAGTTTTCTTTCATTTTAAAAAACGAAGGGAAGAAAGTAGTTTATCACGCTAGTATTTCCTTTCATCTCTACACGAATACAGCTTCCATTAAACGGTCTTCATTCAGAGGAAAAACAGCAGACTGTGCATCTTCTCTGAGCCAACTACTTTATTCAATCATCTGCCTCTGTGCCAAGACAGTTTCCTTCCCCGGTAAAAAACCGCTACAGTTATCCTTTTCAGTTGATTTCAGATGCTTTCCTGTTCCTCAGATGATCTTGCAAAATGTCGCTGATATCCTCAAATGAGTAGGCCCTTGAGAAATATCTACACAACCTCAGAATCGGTCCTGCAGAAGCATTTCAACCCAGCAACAGTCTGAAGAGCACAGACTGCAACCCGCAGGATGAAATGCCTAGTAATGCTCACATGTTACACTTACCAGAGAGCTGAGCGACTGCTCAGGATGTAACTTCCTCTAGCAGGAAAAAAAATAGTGCATTTGGACAGCCTTCACAATTAGAAGGTTCATGCCAGTTCTGTGACTAATCCAGATCAAACTGAAAATTCTATAACTGAAAAATAAGTGCGCTTTTAACATTTTCCACTAAAAGCCACAAGGAAATCTGGTGTACTGCCTCTGCTGACTAACACTGGCTTTAGCAAGTAAACAATCCCAAACAGCTTAACTGCTTTCGCATGCCACAGTACAGCAAATGTTTAACTCCATGTTAACAGCTGCAGTAAGAATGTCTGTAGTGAATTCCCAAGAGAGATCTCAAAAAGAAAGAGAAATATTCCATCAGACTAAAAACCATGAAGCTGAGTTAAGGTGCATTACTCTTATTTCTGCCAAGACCTTTTTCTTCCTCCTCCTCCTCCTCCCCCTCCTCTCCTTTCCTTCCTCTCCCCCCCTCGGATGTAAGTTATTTTCTAGAATGAAAAGAGGTTTAAAGAAAACAAATGTTAAGGCTTGCTATGACTTCTAGGTTAATGAGTCAATCATTTATTGACTCATACATTTTTTTAAAGAAAAAATTGAAAATTTCATAAAGGTGGAAATCCTAATGTTAAAATTTTATGAATCATTTGAATTTTCACTGAAAAAAATTAAATAATAACTTCATATTTGAACACATTCTAAAGTCTTAAAAACCCATTAAGCAGCTGAATAAAATAATTGTTTAAAGTTCTTGTCCCAAATTACTCACATGTCAAAAGAGCACAGAATCTTACAAAGATAACAACCAACCAACCCCTCCTTCCCGATAAAAATAATTTCCCCAAAGCTACAATGAAGTGTGAAAACCAACAGTTTCGGGGCTGGGGTTGCAGCACTAGTCTAGCATGCCCCAGGTCACGGGTTTCACCCTAAACACTGCAAACACACCACCCCAACCCCTTTGTAGCTGGCCTTCACTACCTTTCTCACTTGGCCTCAGACTGAGAGTATTTCCCAATTGATTACAAAGAAAGACTATGCCCCACCTTGGTCTGTGTTTTCCCCTTTTATCATCCCGTATTCTCATAAGCAAACTCATGTTATTTTTGAGCATTTTATGCTTGGTGCTATATATCCTTCCTTAATATAATAATCTCCTATATTCCCATTTTATACAGGAAAAAAGAACTCAGAAATTATTTTGCTCAGTCATCCAATGACTAAAATGCTTGATGCCAAAAATATATATTTCTACTACCAATAAAATTCTTTTAAAATTTTAATTCTATGTGGTAGAAATGATCATTAAAGAAAACCTATAAATACTGTTGAAAGTTTAGGTAACAAAAGACATTATTTATTTGTGAATAAGTTATTTTTGAATGAGCGTTTCAATGATACTCTTTGTTTAAGCCAATTTACTTATTAAATCATGGGGGGGGGAGACTTAATATAGGTAAGAACGTCAGAAATTTTAAATGAAAATTGTAAATATCCATCTACAGAAGAACCAACATTCACATGGGTTCAACAGTTATCTTCTGTGGGGAGGGTGGATGGGCTCTTGCTATATTACTCAGGCTGGCCTAGAACTACTGCACTGAACAGATTCTAGGTACATGTCACCATGTCTGCTTCTATTAGTTACCTTAAAATATATAAAATGTTTTTAAAGACAAATATGCAACTATTGTAACATACATAAATGTTATCCACCTCCATATAGTTGAATCAAATATATCATTCTAATACTTGATACATATAAAAATGAAATTATAGTAACATCTTATTGCCCATTTTCAGGGTTCTTCTCCAAAAAAGAACCTTTTTTCATACAAATAATTTTAACTTGTTCCAAAGTATCTAGTGTGTAAGTTCACCTACTTTTGACTGAAGAAGTTGCATCCTATTTCTTGTTTGAGCCCAACTTTTCCCTGAAGGTTTTCCCAACCATTTTGTGTGTGTGTGTGTGTGTGTGTGTGTTGGGGGTGGGGGGGTGGGGGGAGGTGAGGGATTTTGAGACAGGATTTCATTGTGTAGCTCTGGCTGTCCTTGTTTTGTAAACCAGGTTGGCCGCCTCTGCTTCCAAAGTGCTGGGATTAAAGGTGTGCACAACCACTGCCCAGCTTCCCAATCATTCTTTACATAAAATCTGTCCTACAAAAATTTAAAATTTAATTTAAAGCCCCTATGTCGGCATCTACACCATGATTGGAAAATGAAGTGTTAACACATCAGTACTACACAAATTTAATGAATTTAGAAAAAGTCATAAAGGATGGCAAGACCTGGCCAACTCTACTCAAAATGTAATATACTGTAATAATCTAAAGGCACACAAAAATCACCTTGAACAAGCATATTTATTTTAAAGACATTTACCAAAATACACAGCATTAATTGAACAATATTATTTCTTCTATGCACAGCACATCAAATAACCAGAAAATATTGTATGTACCTTATACAATATAAACAGGGTGCTATATTATAAATAAGAAAAATAAGTAGTACAAGAACACAAAATACTGAACACCAACATAGACCAGAGGCTTACATAAGAAACACAGATCATACATTCATGAAAAAGTGAACAGCATACAAATTCATTAACTGTAACTAGCATGTAAGATAACTTCCAATTGTCCAGCCTCTTAAAAAAAAGGGGGGGTTGGGACACTAATGGATGCTTTTATAAAGCTATCCACAAACCTCACTGTTATGTTTTCTTGTTTTAACTTTGATTTTTCTTCCTCTCAAAGAAACCAATACCAACTGGCTGGAGCATTTAGGATCAGAACTCATTCTTCCATTTGAGGGGAAAGGCTCTAAATTTTAAAAACACCATTTGTACTGCATGAATAAACTACTCAAATCTTAGACCAGTATGATCTAATAGATATGAAAATACCCACATGAGTAATTTAAATACTCCTATATAGTTATCACATTTAAAAAGGGTCAGCAAAAACTGCTAAAATTCATTTTTTTAACATGTCCAAAATAAGATGCTGAGACCCACAGCATTATGTGGAGGGAGGGAGGGAGGGAGGGAGGGGAGGGGAGGGGAGGGGAGGAAGAGACAGAGAGAGGGAGGGAGGGAGGGAGAGAGAGAGAGAGAGAGAGAGAGAGAGAGAGAGAGAGAGAGACAGTCTAAATGGGAGGTCTCCATCAAATCCCTCCCCTCAGATCTCAGAAAATCCTGTAGAAGAGGGGAAATGACTGGCAGAGCCAGAGGAGATGATGGAGGACGAGAACAAGGCCCCCTGAATCAACTAAGCAAGGCACACATGAGCTCACAGAGGCTGAAGCAGCAAGCATGGGTGCCTATATGGGTCTACACCAGGATCTCTTTATATATATTATATATAATAGTATATATTATAGCTATTAGCTTATTTTTTTATGGTACTCCTGACTGTGAAAACTCTTCCTCCTCTTGGGTTGCCAAGTCCAACTCCAATATGATCACTCTTACATACTGCTGATGGTAATGTAAATTAGTCCAGCCACTATGGAAATCAACATGGACGGTCCTTGAAAAATTAAAAATACAACTACCATATGACCCATCTATAACACTCTGCAGTACATGCCCAAAGAAGTCAAAGATAGTATGTAACAGAGACTCTGTATATCCATCATTATCACAGCACTAACAATAGCCAAGCTACAGAATAAGCCCGGGCGCCCCAATCAACAGTTAGAAGAGGATTAACTCCTGAGTTATGATCACAAGGATGCAGAAAGGAGGATGGTTTTCACAGGGAAGATTAATAGAAAAACATTTGAAGATAAAACTTTCATTGTATTTGATCAAAATTAAGCACTAATTTTTCCTATTTCCTATTCTCAAATATATTTTCTTAAATTTGACATTTTCTTTTTATGTCATTTATACAGGGGTTTCCTTCAGTCTAAGAGTGGCCCCCTCTTTAAAAACAAAAAACTCTAGAACTCTCACAGTATTTTCCATTATTAGTGTGTTGTGAATAACTTATACTGGTGGGAAAATTAACTCTGGAAGAAAATGACAATGTTTAACCTTTCTATGTAATATGTAGCTTGCCTCTGGTTGCTACATTAATTCAACTTTAATTTAACCACCATTAACCCCTCCCTTCTTACAGCCTACCTTCAGTTTGTTTGAAAGTCCACTTCTATATCCCACATGACTTGGAAAAATCCTGCATAGAGTAAGGTGATCATGGTAATTCTATTCTACCTACTAAGTGACTCATTTGGTAATTAACATGCAATCTGAGCTAGCTTGCTCTGTCACATGCCAAGAAAAGTCAGCTGTAGTGCTTCTAGGAAAGTCTTTATTTTTGTATCTAAAAGGGGAGAGAAAGAAGGAAACGGCCCTCCTACTGGACAACAATATGTTTGATAGTAACGCCATGAAGTATGCTGGGTATCTTGTGACCGAATGGAGTTATCCTAGCGTCCATGCTAAGTCTGAAAGAGGGAAAAACTGAAAAGAAAAAGTGATCAACCTCCTATGGTCACCACATTGAGTAACCAAACCATTCAACCTAAAGCACAGTATTTCAATTCCTCCTGCTATAAGACCCTTTCCTATTTAATCCAGTTATTTTAAATATAAAGTATTTTCAGCTTAAAATAGCCCTAATATTAAAAAACAAACAATATTCTATTACAAATAAAAGACTCATTAAAATATGATTAACCTTATATTGGTTCAAAAGTTTTTAAGAATATCTGTGATGCTGTATATGATGAATATGAAAAATTACAGCATGATTGTTGGCAAGTTTAACAACTAAATTAGCTAAGAATGGACTAGTCATAGATTCTAATAAGATATCTCCTTTGTTTTTAAGAAGTTTAGTACCAGCTACAACTAATGGAATTAACATTGCTTAACAGTTATAAGCATGGCATTTTATAAGCTTATTAAAGTCATAAAAATTATTTAGAAAAGAAATTCCATACCATAAACACATTAGAAAAATACT